AGCCATCATAGGTCCAGGGTGAGGAACAGAAGAAGAACAAAAAACAACAGAAAATCAGGACAGAACTAAAAAGGTTTTTTCCTCTACCCGACCCCAATGGGACCCCAACACCTTGGGTGCTCACCAGACTCTGAACACTTTTCACCAGTATCTTTTAGAAGGGGATAGAGGAGGGGCCCACAACCCCAGTAACCTCTCCAAGGTAGAGACTGTAACTCAGGGTCTGCGGAGTTGTCGGCTACCTTCCTTGAGTGTCTACAGGATGCTTATTGCACCTACAATCCTATTGACCCTGAGGCTCCAGAAAATCAGTGTGCCATCAATCTGGCTTTTGTTTCCCAGTGGGCCCCAGATATTAAAAGAAAGTTACAGAAGTTAGTGGGATTCCAGGAAATAAATTTATCCCAATTGCTAGAAATTGATCAAAAAGTTTTTAATAACAGGAATACTCATGGAGCCGTAAAAAACAAAAAAGGTTACTAAGGCAGGAACAGCAGCCCTTCAGAAGACATGAGTCACTCCAGGAGGGCAGGGGGCCTTGTAAAAGGGTCCCCGAGGTCCCTGGCTCCCATTAGGAAGAAACCAATGTGCCTACTGTAGAGAAGAGAAACATTAGAAAGAATGAGTGCCCCAAGAGAAAAGGACGAGTAATCGCTCAGGAAAAGCCACCGAGGGCTATCTTTAATTTAGAAGATCAGGATTGATGGGGCTAGGGTTCTTATTTACTAAGCCCCCAGGAACTTAGTGTCACTTTAAGAGTTGGGAACACACCTGTCAGCTTCTTAGTCAACACCAGGGTGGGCCACTCGGTCCTTGACCTCTGGGACCACTATCCAGTAAAAAGCAATTGTACAGGGGGTCAGAGGAAAAACCACAAAAAGCTCTTGGACCACCAACTGACTCCTTGATCTGGGGAACAGCCCCATCACCCACTCCTTCTTAGCCATTCCAGAGTGTCTGCACCCACTCCTAGGACTGGACTTACTTCACAAACTTCAAGCAAATATTTCTTTCTGTGAGAGTCAGGCTTGCCTCTCAATCCCTCCTCCCTTGATATCAGGACCACCTCAGCAAATCCTCATCACCTGTGCTCTTCATATGAGTATCTCTTGCAGGAAGCTTTAATCTCAGAGGCAGTTCAACCACCAACATCAGACCTCCTCCGCCATTTCCAAGAGAATGTGCCCAGAGTGTAGGCCAAGAAAAATTTCCTAGGCTTGGCAAGTCACTGTAGCCCAGTCATGGTCCAGCTATTGTCAACAGCAACTCCAATCCAGGTACGACAATATCCCATGAGTCAGGAAGCCAGATGGGGAATTGCTCCACATATAACCAGACTCCTAAAAGGTGGGATCCTTACCACCTGTAAGTCCTCCTGGAATAACCCCTTACTCCTCATCTTAAAATCAGGCACAAAGGACTATCGTTCTGTACAGGACTTAAGGGAGGTAGACAAATGAGTGGAGACTGTCCACCCTACGGTTCCAAATCCATACACCCTCCTAAGTCTCTTGGGCCCAGAACACCACCATTACACTGTCTTGGATCTCAAGAATGCATTCTTTTGCATCCCACTGGCCCCTGTTAGCCAGCCCATATTTGCTTTTGAATGTACTGACCCTGATACTGGGGTCTCAGGGCAATTCACCTGGACAAGAGTGCCTCAGGGGTTCAAAAATTCCCTACTCTGTTTGATGAGGCACTTAGCCCAGATCTTGCCACCTTCCAAGCTGAGTTCCCCAAGTGCACCTTGCTCCAATATGTGGATGACTTACTCTTGGCTACCAAAACCCAGGAGGCCTATAAAGAAACCACCCAGTCATTATTAAAGACCCTACAGACTTTGGGTTACCAGGTCTCAGCTAAAAAGGCCCAACTTTGTCAACCAAAAGTTACTTACCTGGGCTATATCATAGAGAAGGGCAACCGGGCACTGGCACACAGCTGACTCCAAGAGGTGCTGCAAATACCCACCCTCACCACAAAACGACAAGTTTGAGAATTTCTTGGGGTGGTAGGGTACTGCAGGCTATGGATTTTGTGATTGGCAGAGATAGCCAAGCCCCTGTATGCCTTCACTGGAGAAAATCAGCCCTTGACTTGGGCAGAGATAGAGCAACAGGCTTTTGACAGTCTCAAGACTGCCCTGACTATGGCCCCAGCCTTGGCCATGCCAGACATCTCTAAACCCTTCGGGTTGTTTGTGCATGAAAAACAGGGAGTAGCTAAGGGGGTGCTCACCAAGACTTTGGGACCATGGTCCCGGCCAGTCAACTCCCTTTCAAAAAGACTTGATCCCATAGCCTCTGGGTGGCCAGCTTGTCTGAGGCTGGTGGCAGCTATAGCACTGTTAGTCAAGGAGGCAGACAAACTAACCTTGGGGCAGAAGTTAAACTTAGTACACCCCAAGCAGTGGAGTCATTACTCTGTGGAGATCCGGGAAAATGGATGTCAAATGCCCATAGTTCAATATCAGACTTTACTTTTGGACCAGCCCCACATAAAGTTTTAAAGATTACAGTTTTACACCCCGCCCCGCTGCTACCAGACAGCGAGCTGGAAGAGGCCATACATGACTGCCAACAGAAGATGGACGTCCTACACCTGCAGGACCAGATCTCACCGATGTCTCCCAGCAGAATCCAGAGGGGGTACTGTATACGGATGGCAGCAGTTTCATGGTAAATGGAGTCAGGTATGCTGGGCAGCCGTAGTCACCCTTGAGTGGGTTATCTGGGCCCAGTCTCTTCCACATGGAACCTCGGCCCACAAGGCAGAACTCAGCTCTGGCAAAGGCCTTAGCCTGGGCGGAGGGAAAAACTGTTACTATCTATACAGATAGCCAAAATGCCTTTGCTACAGCTCATGTATGTGGAGCCATTTATAAAGAAAGAGGACTACTTACCTCAGAGGGAAAAACCATCAAAAACAAAGAAGAAATCCTAGCCCTACTAGAGGCTATATTGAAGCCCAAGGCAGTGGAATTAATACACTGCAAAGGACACCTTAAGGGAAATTCGCCAGAGGCAAGGGGAAATAGGGCGGCTGACCTAAAAGCCAGACAGGCAGCCATAGAATCAGTAAAACCTTTGACTCTTCTTGTAACTCTGCTGGCCCCAAACCTGCCCCCTACCCCTACGTACTCACCTGATGAAGAAAACTTTGCTAAAAAAAAACAAGGGGGCACAAAAGATTCCACAGGATGGTGGATTCTACTGAACACAGGAATTATGGTCCCTGAGGCTCTAGGATGGGCCCTAGTTAAGGACACACACCTGGCCACTCACTTAGGACATACCAAATTAAATGAGATGCTAAGAGCCAAATACTACATTCCCCATTTACATGAACTTATCAAGAAAATTACTACTTGGTGTGATGTATGTGCCCAAGTAAATCTGGGAGGGAACAGGTCTAGCCAGGTAGAAGTAAGACTCAGAGTGGCTAGCCCTAGGGAGCACTGGGAAGTAGATTTCAATGAAATAAAACCCCCAGAAAATGGCTATAAAAACCTCCTCGTGTTTATAGATATGTTCTCTGAATGGGTCAAAGCCTTCCCCACTAGGTCCCAGATGGCTTTGCTGGTCAGAAAAAAACTATTACAGAACCTTTTTCCTCAATTTGACCCCCCTCTAACACTGGGGTCAGACAATTGGCCTGCCTTTACTGCACAAATTTATCAGGGCCTAGTTAAGACCCTGGGTATATCCTCGAAATTACACTGTGCCTATGGTCCCCAGAGTTCAGGGCAAGTCAAATGAATGAACTGGACCATAAAAGAAACCCTAACAAAGTTTATCTAAGAAACAAGTGAAAATTGGGTCAGCCTGCTTCCTTTTGTCCTCCTTTGCATCTGGTGCACACCCTATCAGAAATGCTTCTCCCCTTTTGAAATCATGTTGGGAAGACCCCTGCCTTACTCCCCAGACCCATGGATAACATGCATGTGGAAGTCCATAATTATACACTCCTTAAGTCTTTAAAGGAGCTCCAGTCTGTTCAATCCCAGATACACCAGCTCATTAAAGACACCCATCCCACGCCATTGGACCTCAAAGACCAACTGAGACACGCCTTCCAGCCTGGAGACTCTGTTTTTGTTAAAAGATTTGCCACCTCTGGCCTAACTCCCCGTTGGAAGGGACCCTACATGGTTATCCTGACCACAACCACTGCACTCAAGGTGGCTGGACTAACGGCCTGGATTCATCACACCCATGTCAAGACTGCCCTACCGGAAGGACAATGGAGCATCAAACACTCATCCCCTGATTCACTAAAGCTAAGACTTGTGTGCTCTTTGCGGTTACCACTCTTGCCACCCTAGTGCTGTAAATCCCTATCATCATCCCTCTACTGGTTGGATTAGGTATTGCTGGCTCCACCACAGTTGGAATATCAGCTCTTATAATGGAGGACCAAAATTTTTAAACTCTCTGTGAGCACATAGATACTGATCTAAACCACTTGGAAAATTGTATTTTTCAACTCACTGATTAGGCTGAGTCTTTGGCTGAAATCATTCTCCAAAATAGGTGAGAACTAGATTTACTACTCTTAAAACAAGGGGGGTTATGTGCCACCCTTAATGAACAATGTTGCTTCTATGCTAATAAGTAAGGCCTCATCCGAAAGAGCCTCTCCTTGGTGAGACAGAATCTCAAAACCGGAAATCAACTTTGAGAGGCTTCAGAAATTTGATACCTAAAACTGTTTTCCTGGTCTCCTTGGCTCACTTCCCTCCTTATGGGCCTGGTGGGACCTTTGGCCCTACTCCTACTGGGGCTCACATTAGGCCCCTGTCTCCTAAACCAACTGCTCTGTTTCATAAAAATGTAGGGTAGACTCCATAAAATTAATATTAAGGTCTCAATATGAGCCCATAGAACCAACAAACAATACTAACCTGTTGGGGGAATCAATTATTTAATTACTGAAAATAAAACAAGTGGGAAATGTGGCATGGTAAAAGCCCCATAAAACTACATGCCTCGGATCACATGTCAGCTGCTGGGAAGATCTGGATTCTCGTTTCAGGTCACCATCCAAAAAGCTAAGTTTGCTGTATAGTAAGGATCAGGAGATCTGATCCTGATTGCAGAACCTTTCCTGATTACAAAATCTTGGGTTGTATCTCCCACTTCACCCTTCTAGACCATCCTAGAAGATCTATAAGATTTCATCTGGGAAATCACTAGGAGTTCTTGAAAGGGAAAGAAGGAAGATTGTTGGTTGGAATAAAAACAGGGTTGAATGAGTTCCAGAAAGCAGGGTTCTCAACCTTGTGGACAACAATCTGCAGAAGAAAACTTTAAAAAACCAACTAGAGGCAACATGCAGAGAAGTAAGATAAGAGGGGCCTCCTCAGGAAAGAAGACAGCTGGTCTCCAACAGAAAAATCTGGAACCATCTCTCCCAGGAAGATGGGGGGAGTCGCTCTGCAGAGAACTCCCCTTCAGGATTCGTGAGGAAGACCAGAAAGAACAAACAGAAGACTCCCGGAAACGGAGACGGTGGCAGTACCAGTGAAGCACCTCAGCCCCCTCGGAAGAAAAGGGCCCAGGCTGACCCCACTGTTGAAAGCAAGGAGGCATTTAAGAATAGAATGGAAGTTAAAGTGAAGATTCCTGAAGAATTAAAACCATGGTTTGTTGAGGACTGGTACTTAGTTACCAGGCAGAAGCAGCTGTTCCAACTCCCTGCTAAGAAAAATGTAGATGCAATTCTGGAGGAGTATGCAAACTGCAAGAAATCGCAGGAAAATGCTGATAATAAGGAATATGTGGTTAATGAAGTTGTGGCAGGAATAAAAGACTATTTCAATGTGATGTTGGGCACTCAGCTGCTCTACAAATTTGAGAGGCCCCAGTATGCTGAAATCCTTTTGGCTCATCCTGTTGTACCAATGTCCCAGGTTTATGGAGCACCACACTTACTGAGATTATTTGTAAGAATTGGAGCAATGTTGGCCTATACACCCCTTGATGAGAAAAGCCTTGCATTATTGTTGGGCTATATGCATGATTTCCTAAAATATCTGGCAAAAAAAATTCTGCATCTGTCTTTACTGCCAGTGATTACAAAGTGACTTCTGCTGAGTACCACTGCAAAACCCTGTGAGCATCTACAGACAGCTCACCATTTTTGTCCTGTATCTGTAAACACTTTCTGTTCTTAGTCTTTTGCTTGTAAAATTGATGTTCTTTAAAATCGTTAGTGTATCACAGGGCTTATGTTTCAGTTTGTTTTCTGTTCTGTTTTAAACAGAAAATAAAGGAAGCGTAAGCTGCTTTTCTCATTTCAAAGTTGCTACCAGTGTATGCAGTAATCAGGACAAAGAAGAAACATTCAGTAGAACATTTTATTGCCTAGTTGACAACATTGCTTGAATGCTGGTGGTTCCCATCTCTGACACCACACAATATTAGAAAATATGTGTTAATGCTACATGAAAAAAAGCCCTGATTCCTAGTGCCAAAGGTTCAACATAATGTATATATTTGAAAACCCATGCGTTTGTACTCTTTTTTTTTTTTTTTTAATGGTGCTTGAAGTAAAACAGCCCATCCTCTGCAAGTCCATCTCTGTTGTTCTTAGGCATTCTATCTTTGCTCAAATTGTTGAAGATGGTGATTTGTTTCATGATTTTTGTATTTGAGTCTAATGCATGTCCTGACATGATAGAGGCAATGCATTATTGTGTAGCCATGGTTTTCTGGAAAAGATGATATTTTAGGAATTGTATTTCAGATCTTAAATAAAATTGTTTCTAAATTTCAAAGCAAAAAATAAAAAAAGCTACATACCTCAACCATACCTCAGCTTTCTATTGAAACTGCTCTCTGTGACCCTAATGTGACAGGCAAGCAGTCCAAACCCATGTCATCTTAGTTCTTGTGACTTGTAATAAGTAACTAAGGTCTGTAATTCCCACCACTACCCAATGTGTAAAATGACTCTTATCTTGACTTTTGTCACTTAAGTAACAATCAGAGTGACAAAAGTCTCCTGGCCCTTGGAATGTCCTGAGCCCCTCTTTCCTATCCTGGCTCCTCACCCTCACCACCGAGGTGGTTTTAGGGGTATAAAGAGTTTTGACACCCTCCTTTCCGGAACATGGGTTGGATAGATGCGAGCCATCCCTGGCTGCCAGCAATAAAGAATCTGCAATCTGGCATACTTTTGTCTTGGTGTTGAATTTCTATGCTCGGTTGAGTACAACACCAGTAAAACACAGAAGAAACGTATCTCTGAAACTGCTGTGATGTGTGTTCGCTGAACTAAGGGTGTTGAATCTATATATTTATTCAGCACCTTAGAAACACATTTCCAAAGATGGCTGTTTAGGAACAGCTTGGACTTGCAGCTCTCAGTGGAAGCACAAAGGGTGAGTGCACCCTGCATTTTTATTGCACATGGACCAGGAGATTCCCAGGCGGAGGAGCCCCATGGGTTGCCAGCGTGGCTGTTTTGGCCGACATGGTTCTTTTGGTCGGTGAGGCTGCTCTGCCCCACGCAGCTGTTTTGTTGGTGCCCTAGCCAGCAGTTCCCCATACAAAATACACTGGTCTGGGTACCCTTTTGGCTGGCAATTGGAGCCCCAGGAAGTCGCCCATTCATCTCATTAAAGAGGGGACTGAACAGGGAGCCAGGCAGGAGATTCCTGGGCAAAAAAAGCCCCACGAATCTCAGCACCACTGTTTAAGCCACTGCAGTGAGTCCTGCACAGGAAAACACAGATCCCAGTGCCTTTTAAACAGGTGACTGGAACACCTGGGATAGAGTTGACTGTTCAATTAAAAAAGGAAAAAAAAGGCTCTGAGGCAGAGAGCCAGATGATAAGGCCCCACCCCCACAAAAGAATAGGAATCAGAAACTCTCTGGATTGAGAAATTCACAGCAAGTGCAGCTAAACCCAGGACAGTCCAGCTCTGTGGGGGAGGGGTGACTGCCATAACCAAGACACCCCACCACTACAAAGGTAGTCCACCATTGCTGAGGCAGCCTGCCATTGCCAAGGCAACCCACCATTTCTGAGGTTGCCTGCCATTGCCAAGGCAACCCGCCATTGCCAAGGCAACCTGCAATTACAAAAAGAGTCCACCAATACAGAGGTGGGCCAACATTGCCGAGGCAGTTCTGCCTATACCCATATAAACAGGACTGCAGGGAAGTTCACAAGGCAGCTCTACAGAGCCCACAACAGCTCAGCAAAGCCTCTGCAGGCAGACAATGACTAGGCTGCCTCCTTGCTGGGCAGGTCAGCCCTGAGGGGAAAAAAAAGGCAGCAACACAATGGAAATTCATAAATAAAGCCCTAACGCCCTGGGACAGAACATCTGGGAACAAAAAGCGGTTTATGAGTTCTGTGGCAGCAAACATAAACATATCTGCCCAGCAGCTCTGAATAAACAACGGAGATCACAGCTCAGCACTTGAGCTCCTACAAAAGACAGACTGTATTTCCAAAGAGTCACCTCATAAAGGAGAGATCAGACTGACATTTGGCGGGTATCCTTCTGGGACAAAGATAGCAGAAGAAGAAACCCGTAGCAACCCTTACTGTTCAGCAGTTGCTGCAGGCAATCCAAGGCAAGCAGAGCCTTGAGTGAACCTCAGCAGTCCTACAGCAGAGGGACCAGACCGTTAGAAGGAAAACGGAAAAACAGCAATAATTACATCATCAACAAACACAACGTCCACTCAGAGACCCAATCTGAAAGTCAGCAGCTACAAAGACGATAGGTAGATAAATACATAAAGACGGGAAGAAACCAGTACAAAAAATAATAATAATAAAAACACCTGAAACCACAGCATCTCTCCTCCAAGGGATCACAACTCCTCACCAGCAAAGGAACAAGGTTGGATGGAGAATGAGTGTGATGAAATGACTAAATCAGGCTTCAGAAGGTAGGTAGTAAGAAATTTCTGTGAGCTAAAAGAACATGTTCTAACCCAATGCAAGGAAACTAAGAACGTTGAAAAAATATTTGATGAAATGTTAATGAGAATGGACAACCTAGAAAGAAACATAAGTGAATTGATGGAGCTGAAAAACACAGCACAAGAACTTCGCAAAGCATGCACAAATTTCAACAGCAGAATTGACCAAGCAGAAGAAAGGATATCAGAGGTCGAAGATCAACTCAATGAAATAAAATGAGATGGCAAGATTAGAGAAAAAGGGGTAAAAAGGAATGAACAAAGTATCCAAGAAATATGGCACTATGTGAAAAGACCTAATCTAGACTGCTGGGAAGATGGCCGACTAAGAATTGCTCAGGACTTCAGCTCCCAGTGAAAGTGAAGAGGGTGAGTGGACACTGCATTTCCAGATGAATTTTTATTGCCCACAGACCAGGAGATTCCCAGGCAGAGGGGTCACCAGCACTGCTGTTTCAGTCAGTGCAGCTGTTTTGGCCCCTGCAGGGCAGATTTGGCCTGTGCACTGTTTGACCACACCCTGTTGTGGCGGTTCTTCATACAAAAGACACTGGTCTGGGAGCCCTCTTAGCTGGTGATTGGAGCCCTGAGACGGCAGAGTTGCCCATTCATCTGAAATAGCAAGCCAGACCAGGAGATTCCTAGGCAAAAAAAAACAAAAAAAAAAAAAAACAAAAAACAAAACAAAAAAAACGCCAGGAACTTCGGCGCCACTGTTTGATCCGGCTCAGTGAGTCGCACCATGGGAGATACCGGCGCCTTTTCAAAAGGTGACTGGAACGCTAGGTCGTTCAACTTAAAAAATAAAATGAAAGACTCTGAGTCAGGCAGCCAGGTGATCAGGCTCAGTTGATCCCACCCCCCCCCCCCAACAACAACGACAATGAAAACAAAAGCAGTAATTGAAAACGCTCTGGGTTGAGCGTTTCACAGCAAGCACAGCTGAATCTGGGACAGTCCGGCTCTGTGTGGGAGGGGCGTCCACCATTACTGAGACTCTCCACCACTACGGAGGCACGCCATTGCTGAGGCAACCTGTCGTAGCTGAGGCAACCTGCCACAACAGAGAGAGTCCACCATAACAGAGGAGGGGCCACCAATGCTGAGGCTACTCTAACTATGCCCATCTAAACAGGACTACAGGGAAGATCACAGGGCAGCTGGGCGGAGCCCAGAGCAGCTCAACAAAGCCTCTGCAGGCAGACAGTGAATAGGTGGGCTGTCAGCTGGGCAGGGCAGACCTGAAACCAAAAACAAAAAGGGCAGCAGCACAAAGGAAACTCATAAAGTCCTAACTCCCCGGGACAGAGCACCTGGGAACAAAAAGCGGTTTATGAGTTCAGCTGCAGCAGACCTAAACGTACCTGCCCAGCAGCTCTGAATGAACAATGGAGATCACAGCTTATGACTTGAGACCCAATAAAAGACAGACTGTCTCCTCAAGGAGCTCCCTGACCCCCATAGATCCAAAGAGTCACCTCATAAAGGACAGAACGGACTGACAGTTGGCGAGCATTCTTCTGGGACAAAGATAGCAGAAGAGGAAACTGGTAGCAAACCTTACTGTTCTGCAGCTGCTGCAGGTGATCCCCAGGCAAGCAGGGCCTGGAGAGGACCTCAGCAGTCCTACAGCAGAGGGGCCAGACTGTTAGAAGGAAAGCTTAAAAAAAAAAAAAAAGGGTTACTTCAGAATCCACAAACTGGAAGCTCACTCAAAGACCAAATCTGAAAGACAGTAACTACAAAGACAACAGGTGGATAAACCCACAAAGATGGAAAGAAAGCAGCACAAAAAGGTTGAAAATTCCCGAAACCAGAGCACCTCTCCTCCTAAAAGGGTTCAAACTTCTCACCAGCAAGAGAACACGACCGAATGGAGAAAGAGTGTGATGAAATGACAGAATCAGACTCCAGAAGGTGGGTAATAAGAAATTACAGTGAGCTAAAAGAACATGTTCTAACCAAATGCAAATAAACTAAGAACATTGAAAACAGATTGGAAGAAATGCTAAAGAGAATGGACAACACAGAGAGGAATATAAGTGAATTGGTGGAGCTGAAAAACACAGCACAAGAATTTCACAAAGCATGCACAACTTTCAACAGCCAAATTGACCAAGCAGAAGAAAAAAATATCAGAGGTCAAAGCTCAACTCAATGAAATAAAAGGAGAA